TGGTGATATTGGTAAGGGTACCCACTCCTTACTTTAAACAGAAGTGCACACTGGCTTGTGTGATTTGTGGCACTGAAGAGTGATTCACATACACATTTTTCACCATATATATTTTTTTTTTTCTCACTTGTGTGATTATCACCAGAGTGACTTCACATGTTATTATGATTTGCTAAAGGATAATGCTCTATGTATTGTTTTTATTTTTATTTTTGAGGTAATCCAGCCTGTGCAAGTTGTTGGGAGAGTCTATACACTTGGACTTAATTTTGGATGCACTTATTTATTTCACAAAAAGGAAATTTGATTTATTTGTGTGGTATATATTATTATCATCTTGGGACTTTAATTTTTCTTTTTGGACTTTAATTGGAATATATTATGTTTGTGATTTAAGGTAGAGGGATTGTATATTTTATATTTATTATTGATTGATGATTTATTTGATTATTTATTTGGCATATTTACTTTAATATTGTTTGCATCTCCAAGGGTGGAGGTGGAGATTATGCTTTAAGGGGATTGAGTATTGAATATTTAGGTATTGGTAGTGATTTATCTACAATACTGATTGCAGCCACAACTACCACAAGAATTGTTCAGTATACAAAGAAAACCCCACAGGTAACCTCAGAAGAAATACAACCTGCTCTGGAAAAAGATGTAGTATTTTTATAAGGAGCACAATACGACAATACTTGAACAAAAATGAGCTTTATAGTTGAGTTGCCAGAAATAAGCCCTTACTTTGCCAATGCCACAAAAAAAGCCTACTATGCAGGTCATTTTTGTTCAAGTATTGTTGTATTGTGCTCCTCAAAAAAAAAAAACCCACACTGATCTTTTCTGCTCAACTTTGCTCAGTATCTAGCCTCCTCAGTGCATCCATGTGAAAGCTAACAAACTCACTGACTATTTATACACAGACACTAATTGCAACTTAAAAAGTCACAGATGTGGGAAATTAACCTTTAAAGTGTTACTAAATCCAGGATGCTGCATTCACTATATCTGGTGTCCTACAGTACACCGAACATGGAAATGCAATCATTTTTGTAAATATAAACTGCTAAATACCTTTTCTCAACAGCAGTTAGAGCAGTCTTGTGACTTCTATCAGTGTCCAGCAGAGCACTGGTTAAAGCTTGTAGGAGGAATTTTCATTCTCCGCTCACTGTCCTATGAGGCTGCAAGAGCCCTGACCATCTGTCTAGACAGTGCTGATAGGCCCTGTGCTGATCACATGCACCCTCCCAAGAAAAAAAAAAAAAACTCTAGCAATACACACTAAACTGAATATGTGCAACTTCCTCCCAAGACTCTGTTCTATCAGCAGATGGATTGGAGACAGTAGAAGAAGGTGAGTATCAGAGAAGACAGGATCAAACATCTTTTTTACACAATGTAGAGGATTAACCCCTTTAAGTTCCACAGTGGGTATAACAAGCATGCTTTACTACATATACAGATTGATTTTATGTTGTGGGTTTAGTAACACTTTAATTGACATTTTAACCCATGTTTGTCACCTTGTGTCTCTGTTCCAGGGCCAAACAGTCCAGGATATGTCAACTTTTGATCAAGGCCACTTGGGTGAATGTGTTATCATTATGATTTAAATAGGAGCCAAACAAATATGTGAAGATAAATGGCTTCATATGATCACTATTCTTAAAAATAAAAAATAAAAGTTTTTTGGCATGATCAGTCATATTTTCAATACAAATGCAAAAATTTCATGATTTCTGCCAAGGTGTGCAATCTTTTGAGCACAACTCTATCATTGACAAAAATGTTGGAACATAGCTGGGGCATTACAAGGTATGAACGGAATAACCAAATATTAAAAATGTCTGAAGCTTGTTCAGAAAGATGTCTTCCATTCGTCTCCTTCACAAATTCTGATTAAATTATATGCACCCCTCAGATCCATTTTTGAATGAACATATGCCCCTCATAACCTCTGGAACAGTTTGGGAATCAGAGAGAAAGGATGGCGGTTCTTGACTGTTATCTTTTTAAGATCATGATGGTCCACACAAGGTCTAAGAGTATGGTCCTTTTTTTCAACAAAGAAGATGCCAGCTTCCGCTGGTGACGTGGAGGGCAAATAAACCCCTTTTGAAGACTTTCATTAATGTAGTTTTAGAGGACCTCTAGTTCCAGCTCAGAGAGATGGTAAATTCAGCCAAAAGGGATCTCAGCCCCGAGCAAAAGTTCTATGGGGCAATCATTATTATTGTATTCTTGTTGAATACATCCAGATATTCATGGTAGGCAGCAAGAACTAGTTTCATCACCTCCGGATCCGGATGCATACTAAGGAGAGGAGTAACTGTGCTAGGGTAATTCAAAGTACAATGTGAAAGACAGTACTGGGATGAAAAGGTGATCTCTCCATTAAGCCAGTTAATGCAGGAGTTGTGTGCCCTTAACCAGGGCATTCTGACAATAACAGGAAACATAGGTGATGTTATGATGTTCAGGCGTAGAAATTCTCCATGCCCGGAGGAAGAGTGACAGAGGATGGGAACAGTCTCTTGAGTTAATGGGCCAGACCTGAAACCCGAGCCATCAGCCAGATGAAAAAAAAAATCCTTGTTTCTCTGCGCAGAGAGGAAAACTGTGCTGAGCTGCAAAAGTAGAGTCCACGAAACAGCTGCAGGCACCAGAGTCTATAATTGTAAGATAAGAAACAGTCTTTTCAGCAAGCAGCAAGTGAAGTAGGAGGATGAAGTGAATTTGATTTGCCCCAGGCGGATAAATCATATGGAACCAGTTATGGAGGGCTTGCAGGCTTTCACTGGACACATCTGTATAAAGTGATCAGCATCACCACAATAGAGGCAGAGGCTGGAATGTTCTCTCCGAAGATGTTCGGCAGAAGATAATGGTGGCCTCCTGCGGTCTCCAAAGAAACATTCGGCACCCTGGCATCCTGGATTCTGGTGATGGGAAATAGCCCCATAGAACATGCTGAACTCCATTTGGGTGGTTACATTTGTGACTGCAGAGGGACCCGAGGATGATGAAACATCTGTCATGTCCGATATTTGGTCTTCCATGTGATCAAGGTTTCTTTGCAAACTGCACAATGTAGGTTAAGGCAGAGATCTATTGGCAAACGTCCTTCAATGGAAAGACCTCCCTTTCAGACTCCATCACTGGCTGACTCCTAATGTCACATACCTGATAGAAGACTGAAATGACAAGGTCAGCCTCACTTGTATCTCCAGGTCATTTGTCCCACTGGAAGTGGAACAGACGGTACCAAGGGACAGGATGAACACAGAGTGTCAGCAGATGTTGATAGCAGAACTTGCAGAAGGAGATGTGGTCCCAAGGAGACTGGCGGACCATCGGTTCAGGAATGGTAGGTGTGCTCAGGAGTCCAGCCCAGGTTAAAGGGGCACTCCATTTGTGCTGCAAGTTCAGGATGAGTGGTTTTTCAGAGTTTCCTGTAGACTTGAAGCAGGAACACTCAGTGGTGCACAGAGCTTCTACAGCAGACAGCCAGGCAGGCACTCTAACAGGATAGAATGCCAGGATCAGAGACAGGACCTTGGTCACAGGAATAGCCAGGGTCATTAACAGGTGGGAAGGGAGGTACCAAATCATGAGCAGAGCCCATGTCAGGAACAGAGGCAGGTCAGGATCTGGCGACAAGTCAGGAGCAGAATCCAAGATCAGGTTAGGAACAAGTCGGGTCAGCAACAAGGGAATCATACAGGAACAACACAAGACACAGGGAACAGCTGAAGACCAGTGAGCATGAGCATGGCCAGGAGCATTTTTTAAATAGTCCTTCTGGCACCAATATGCACTATGCATCTGCCCATGCGTGTATGCCTGTGCACATTCCTGTGTGCATGCACACGCCTGGTTACCATTGCTCGTATGGGCATTTCTATTAGCCAGACATCTCACAGGAATTCCTTGACAGCATGGCCATGATTGGAATTGTGGGAATTGTAGTTTTTGCCTACATATTTGTAAATGCTTTTAACTGTTGCAATAAATGGTATATTGAAGATTTTACACTATGCAAGCCTGGTGCTCTTTTTTTCTGCCTTCCTGGTGCATTGAATCAGAGATGTTTGCCTAGGCTGGGGAAGTGATGGTGGACTCCCACATACCGTTGACAGACCAGTGTATGTGTGCAAGTGCTATTTTGCACTGAGAGTCACCTCTTCTCTGGTAAATCTCATATGTTTGGTGATACGGAGAGAGCACTGGGCGATTCACATATGAAGAGTATTTAAAGACATGGAGTGTTCTGTTTTATTTCAAGGATCATCTTCACTGATGTATGGATTTTTCTATGGGTATATTTTTTGTATATGCTTTTACACGGATTCATTTGTATTTAACAGAATATATTATTTTTGTGCACTGAATTAGGGTCTCTGGCCTGTGTGTCAACTGGAACAAGTATAATTTTTTCCTGGTCGATCCTGGAGATAGGGATTTTCCGGATGATACCCTGCAGTTGTAATTTATCACCAATTTTATTTGTCTAGGTATAGTGGTATCCATTAACCACTTGCCTACCGGGCACTTATACCCCCTTCTTTACCAGGCCAATTTTCAGCTTTCAGCGATGTCGCATTTTGATCATGCAAGATTGTACCCATATGAAATTTTTATAATTGTTTTCTCACAAATAGAGCTTTCTTTTGGTAGTATTTAATTGCTGCTGGGCACTTTACTTTTTGTAAACAAAAAAAGTGCAAAAAATTTGAAGAAAAAAAGTTTCTTTGTTTCTATTATAAAATTTTTCAAACAGGTAATTTTTCTCCTTAACTGATGTGCGTTGATGAGGCAGCACTGATGGGCACTAATAGGCGGCACTGATGGGCACTGATAGGCGGCACTGATAGGCGGCACTGATAGGCAGCACTAATGAGGTGGCACGGATAGGTATCACTGATAGGCAGCACTAATGAGGTGTCACGGATAGGCGGCACTGATAGGTGGCACTGATAGACAGCACTGATAGTGGCACTAACTGGCAGCACTGCTGGGCATTGACTGGCACAACCGCTGGGCACTGACTGGTGGCACTGACTGGCAGCACTGCTAGGCTGCACTGATGGGCACTGGTGGGCACAGGTGGGTGGCACTGGTGGCACAGGTGGGTGGGCATAGGTGTGTGGCACTGCTGGGCACAGGTAGGTGGCACTTCTGGGCACAGGTGTGTGGCACTGCTGGGTGGCACAGGTGGGTGCACTGCTGGGCACAGGAGGGTGCACTCCTATGCATAGGTAGGCTGTCAAGGTCCTACCTTTCCTCAGGGCTTGTGCTGCTCCATGTGCTGGCATCCATATTAGGTGTCTGCAAAGCATTGTGGGATCATTTATGCTTTCAGCCCTCTGTGGCTCCTCCCCCAGGAGGGTGGCGGCTTATCACATATAAGTCTGCTGTTTGTAGCTGTCCATTGCATTCGTGTCCTGTCTGTTGCACAGCAGCAAGCTCCTGTTTAGTTTCTCATTGCTCTCCTGGATACCGACTCGGCTTTGGCAAGACTCCTTCCTGGCTTCTGACCCCGGCTCTGGCGACCATCCTTCCTGGCTTCTGACCCCGGCTCTGACGACCATCTTTCCTGGCTTCTGACCCCGGCTCTGGCGATCATCCTTCCTGGCTTCTGACCCCGGCTCTGGCGACCATCCTTCCATGCTACTGTTCTACCAGGTCATCCGCTGTTGCTGTCGGACTTGCATAGACTCTGTCTTGTTTTTGTATAATAAACCTACCTTTAATTGCACCTCCTTGTGTGTCTGGCTCCTCGCTCCCTGACACTACACGAATGCCATGACTCCTGATGGTGCAGGTACGCCCTCGCTCCCTATGTTGGTTGCCAGAGTTGATCAGCAGGATCTCTTGTTGGATCAGTTCGCTCAGGCGTTGCAGACGCTGCTTGCATGCACAGCACACCTTACTCCTGGTGCTATTAGGCCGGTTGTCACTCCTGTGGTCGCTCCCGCTGTTGCTCCGGTTGTTGCGCCTACCTCCGCATCTGCTGCCGCACCTGCGGTGCTCAGAGGTATGACTGGTTCAGCCCCCCTTCCACAGCGCTTTGGGGGTGAGCCGAGTCAGTATCGGGTTTCCTTAACCAAGTGGGCATATATTTTGAATTTGATACCCACGCTTTTCCTACTGAGAGGTCAAAGGTGGGCTTCCTAATCTCGCTGCTCTCGGACAAGGCCTTGGCCTGGGCAAATCCCTTATGGGAGAACGATAACCCTGTGATTCACGAGTTTGCCGGTTTTGTTGCCTCCTTCCGTACGGTATTTGATGTGCCTGCTCGCTCCGCCTCTGCTGCTAAGCTGCTCATGTCCATGCATCAGGGTTCACGAACCGTTGCCGAGTACGCCATAGAATTTCGTACCCTGGCGGCAGAGGTGGGTTGGAACAATTAGGCTCTGGTGGCTGCTTTCTCTCATGGTCTCTGAGATGCGTTGAAGGACGAGATTTCAGCCAAAGAACTGCCTGTGGAGCTCGAAGCACTCATTTCCTACCTAATCCTGATTGACACCAGGCTCAGGGAGAGGCCTTCACTTAAGGAGCGTCTGCGGAGGCCTCCTAACCGATTGGCGCCTACGTTTTCTGTCCCACCTGTTCCTCCCTCTCCTCCCATGCAGCTGGGGTTTGCTCGCCTTTCCGAGGGGGAACGGGCCTCTTGGCATCGGGAGGGTCGCTGCCTGTACTGTGGTCTTGGTGGGCATTTTCGGCAGTCCTGTCCGGTCCGTCCGGGAAACGCTCGCACCTGAGATCCTGTCAGATCTTTGGTGGAGTTTCCTCATCCCCGATTTCCCGTAAAGATAAACCGCTAATCACCATTCTCTCCTGGGTGGGAGGCTCGGTGACGGCCCAGGCGTTGGTAGACTCTGGTGCTGGCAGGTTGTTTATGGACAGTGCGCTTGCTGCCCAGTACTCCATTCCTCTGCAGGCCCAAGTTACTCCATTGGTCCTCGAGGCGATAGATGGCAGGCCCCTGCAACCGCTGCAGCTTACCCACGAGACCCTGCTGGTTGAAGTAGCTGTTGGGGCTGTTCACAGGGAGATGGCCTGTTTCCAGGTAATTTCTTTCCCGCACTACTCCGTGGTTTTGGGCTATCCCTGGCTTCAGAAGCACAATCCGACCTTTGATTGGCGGTCGGCCCAAATCCTCTCATGGTCGCCACAGTGTGGGGCTGGTTGTATCTGTGGACCTGTTAAGATGTTTTGTGCCTCCTCGGACTCTGTGTTGCCCACTGAATATGGGGAGTACCTGGATGTGTTTGACAAGGTGCACGCCAGTGCTCTGCCTCCTCATCGTCCATACGATTGTGCCATAGCCTTACAACCCAGTGCCACTCCTCCGCGTGGCAGGGTGTATCCTCTTTTGGTTGCAGAGAATCATGCCATGGAGGAGTACGTTGCGGACGCGCTTTCCCGGGGGCACATTCGCAGGTCTACTTCTCCAGCAGGAGCTGGGGTTTTTTTCCTGAAGAAGAAGGGCGGAGAGTTGAGACCTTGCATTGATTTTAGGGGCCTCAATCGAATCACGATTAAGAATGCTTATCCAATTCCGTTGATTACCGAGTTGTTCGACCGCCTCAAGGGAGCAACGGTCTTTACTAAACTCGATCTTAGGGCGGCGTACAACCTCATACGGATCAAGGAGGGCGACGCGTGGAAGACCGCGTTCAACACCAGAACCGGCCACTATGAATCCCTTGGTTATGCCCTTCGGGGTTGTGTAATGCGCCCGTGGTCTTTCAGGAGTTCATTAATGATGTCTTTCGTGACTTGTTGCAGCAGTGCGTGGTGGTTTACTTGGACGACATCCTGGTTTACTGTGCGTTTATGGAGTCTCATATCCAGGATGTTAAGTGGGTGCTGCAACGGTTGCGTGAGAACGAACTTTTTTATAAGCTCGAGAAAGGTGAATTTCACCGATCCCAGGTTGCCTTTTTTGGCTACATCATTTCCGCGGTGGGTTTTTCCATGGACCCTCAGAAGGTTTTGGCGGTTCTGCAGTGGCCTCATCCCAGTGGTCTTCGGTCCATTCAGCGCTTTTTGGGATTCGCCAACTATTATCGGAAGTTTATCAGGAACTTCTCCACGCTGGCCAAGCCTCTCTCAGATCTGACCAAGAAGGGCAGTAATCCCCACGAGTGGTCATCCGAGGCCATCTTAGCTTTCGAAGCTCTGAAATCCGCCTTCGCTTTGGCTCCGATACTGTCTCATCCCAATCCTGGGTTGCCTTTTGTCCTCGAGGCTGATGCATCTGAGATGGGAGTAGGCGCCCTCCTGTCTCAGCGTCGATCGCCCGATGGACCCCTACTTCCCTGTGGATTCTACTCCAGGAAGCTTTCCTCCGCAGAATGCAACTACCAGATTGGAGACAGGGAGTTGTTGGCCATTATTCAGGCTCTCAAGGAATGGAGGCACCTGCTCAAGGGTTCTGCAGTTCCGGTCCTCATTCTCACTGACCACAAGAACCTCACGTATCTCTCGGAAGCTAAGAGGTTGACTCCCCATCAGGCCAGATGGGCTCTGTTCTTGTCGCGTTTTAACTATGTGGTCTCCTATTTGCCTGGCTCCAAGAATGTCAGGGGGCTGATGCCTTGTCACGGCAATACTCTGAGCTGTCCAGGGAGGACTCTGAGTCGACCTCGGTCATACCTCCGGATCAGATCCTGGCTGCCATTCGTACCAGCCTGACTTCTCCCCTTGGGGAGCAGATTTTGGCGGCTCAAACTGATGCTCCCTCTGAGAGACCGGCTGGTAGATGTTTCGTACCTGAGGGATTGCGCACCTGCTTGCTGCGTACCTACCATAATTCCAAGACTGCTGGTCATCCAGGTAGGAACCAGTTGTCCTGGGTCGTCTCTCGGTCATTCTGGTAGCCATCTCTCCGTTCCGACATTGCCTCATACGTAGCGGTATGTTCGGTCTGTGCCCAGAATAAATCTCCTTGGCATCTTCCATTGGGTCTTCTGCAACCCATTCCCAATGGGGAGCGTCCCTGGTCACACCTAGGCATGGATTTTATGTGTGGACCTCCCGGCGTCTCAAGGCCATACGGTCATTCTTATGGTGATTGATCGTTCTTCCAAGATGTGCCATTGCAATCCGGTTCAAGAAATTGCCGACTGCACAAGAACTGGCTACGGTTTTCGCCAGGGAGATCTTTCGCTTACATGGGTTGCCCAAGGTGATTGCCAGTTTGTGTCCAGGTTCTGGCGTGCCTTCTGCTTCCAGTTGGGTATCAAGCTCTCCTTCTCTTTGGCCTACCACCTGCAGTCCAATGGGGCTGCGGAGCGTTCCAATCAGGCCCTGGAACAATTTCTTCGCTGCTATATATCAGACCATCAAGACAATTGGGTCGATCTCCTGCCATGGGCAGAGTTTGCAAGGAACTCGGCTGTCAACTCCTCCTCCGGGATGTCCCCCTTCATGGCCAACTATGGGTTCCAACCCACGGTATTGTCTGAGTTGTTCTCGCCACAGGACATTCCGGCTGTGGATAACCATCTGGCTGCCCTGCGTTCCTCGTGGGGGCAGATCTAGAGGTCCTTGAGGGACTCAGCACAGTGCCAGAAACTGCAGGCTGATTGCAGGTCGGAGATCGGCTGTGGTTGTCCACTCACAACCTCAATCTTCGGGTGCCCGCACCGAAACTGGCTCCCCGTTTTGTTGGTCCTTTCCGCATCCTCCACAGGGTGAACCCGGTTGCCTATGCCCTTGCTCTTCCTCCTGGGATGCGTATCTCCTATGTCTTCCACGTATCCCTGTTGAAGCCTCTGGTCTGTAATCGTTTTACTGCCTCTCCGCCTCGGCGACGTCCTATCCGGGTTGACGGTCATGAGGAGTGTGAGGTGAGCCGCATCCTGGACTCTCGGTTGGTCCGCGGTCGGGTGCAGTTCCTGGTCCATTGGCGTGGTTATGGCCCCGAGGAGCGTTCTTGGGTTCCTTCCGCGGATGTTCATGCTCCTGCCCTCCTCCGCGCTTTTCACACCCGATTTCCTCAGAAGCCTTTTGTGGAGCCGCGGAGGGGGAGGGGTCCTTGAGGAGGAAGTACTGTCAAGGTCCTACTTTTCCTCAGAGATTGTGTTGCTCCATGTGCTGGCATCCATCTTAAGTTCCTGCAAAGCATGGTGGGAGCCTTTATGCTTTCAGACTTCTGCGGCTCCTCCTCCAGAAGGGTGTGGCTGATCACATTTAAGCCTGCTGTCTGCAGTTGCTCTTTGCATTCGTGTCCTGTATGTTCCTTTGCAGCAAGCTCTTGTTCTGTTCTCGTTGCTCTCCTGGTAAACGACTCGGCGTGGACAAGACTATTCTCTGCTTTATACCATTACCTGACC